TATTACTTTGAGTATTGAGTTATTTGGCTGTGAATAAAAGTAGACTGCGCTCCGCTAGTGGTTACTACTGAATAACCGAGGATTTTCACCTCAAGTGTCGATTCTCGCGTCAAAAGGTAGTAATTTCTGAGTACGTGATCGTATAGCGATAGGAGCTGAGTAACCGGAATTTTTCATCTGACAAATGTTGGGATTCGCTTCAAAAGACTCCAATGGCTAGAGCTAAGTCTTTTGCTACTACTGAAAAAGAAAGAAAAAAAAGAAAAATACAAAATGTGAAAAAAAAAAAGTGAAGGTTGTGTTAGTATGTGATAAAAATCAGCTTGCCGATTTGTGAATTTAATGTTGAGATTTTAGTTAATAGTTGGACCATTTGCTGTTAATGTTGAGCGACCATTCCTTTTTCTTAAACTAGTTAACCTGAAATTGGAGAAGTTGGTGGCTTAGGAGCTAACCGAGGTGATGTTTCTTGGATCTTGATCACTGATGCTTGATCTATATTTTTCTTAGTATCTTGGCAATATGGTAAATAGAGCAATAATCACTATCAAATCTCGGTGTTTATTTGATGTTCTCATGCTTGAGGGCAAGCATGATTCAGATGTGGGGGGAATTGATAGGGTGTTAATTGTCAGTAATTTTATTATTAATTTTCTCATTTATCCTTGTCAAATATTGTTTTAAATTGTTAATATATACTTATGTTTGGTACTTGGACATATCTACAGGAAGGGGACGGAAAAGTGCTAAAAAGGGGGATCTGTTGAAGAAAATTGCTCCACACGTGGGAGACTTCAAAAAGGTTCACAAACCTGGCCCACAGGGTACTTAGCAACGGACTTCCCTTTTTTTTGTTGATGAAGAGTCTTACTAGCAAGAGAAAACTAAAAAAAGTGGAAGTCGGCAGAGCTTCCTTTTTGTACTTTGACTCTCAATTCAACGGGGACCACGGAGGGAAGCATTAGTCATTGTTTTAGAAACAAACGTAGGGAGCCGTGGGTGATTGTTTTTTTTAGCAATAGTTTAGTTCTCTTTTTTTTTCTCCTTTGCATGCATTCTTGGTGTTCGACGATATTCCCATTTGAAAAACAGCTTTGACTTCTTGCTTTCTAGTGAAAAATGTGATGCCTTTGCAATCAATTAATTTGCGTGGGGATTTACTTATGCGGGCGTGGTTAAGCTTTTCATCTAGTCAAGGATCAACGCGATGACGCAGTCTCGAATATCTGTGAATCGAATTAGTTTTCATGTGTTCCTTAATTTGTTAATATTTGCACGTTGTCTACTTAAATTTCCTTGGGATTAGTTTGATAATTGGATGTCAAGAGCCCGATGTTCAATGTGACTGATTAATCTCTTGTCAAATTAGTCAATTAAATCCATAATTATTTAATCGATTAATATCCGTGGCAACTAACGTTTTTACACACTAGGGGAACATGCAATCTGATTTAAATAACCCTCGTAGTGTGTTATTGATTGGGGTTAGGTTTTTCTAGTTTTTAATGCAATTGGGAAACTAATTCCTATGATCGTACCTAGGAGTATTTTCTAGTTAGGGGTAATCAATGGTCGTACCTTGGTTATCAATAAATTAAGAAAAAGTTGGTCATCGGAGCTCGTCGGCAACTATAACTGACATATTAACAAATTAAGTGAACCTCCCTTGCATCAATGATCAGATGAATGGACTGTGTCTGAGTAGTTGTATACTTGGTTAGAATTTATCTATTCTTGATTTAATTCCTGTCTACATTCGTGCTAGTTAATTATTCATTTTAGTTGAGTTGCTTAATTATTTTTAACTTTATTCTGATAAAACCCTCCTTTTTCCGATTGGAATCTCAAAGAGACAAATATATCCAGTCCCTGAGGAGACAACCCTGCTTGTCACTGTCCACTAGTCAATAAATTTTGTCAACTAATTAATTCTGGTATATCGGATTAAGCAAACTCTTCGGGAACAGAGTGAATCAAGTTACCCATTACACACCTAGAGTCCCTGCTCCAATACCTAGATTTGATTATTGACTGCTTTTAGTGATAGTTAGGTTTATTATTATAATTGCATAGGCTCGACAACTGTCACAAACAACACTTTTCAAGGGTCTATGCTAGATTCAATTGGAAATATGATAAGCTTGGAATCCTTGAACCTTTTCATATGAAACCAAAAGATTAATTTTAATTGTCAACACTATAGACCAACCTATTGCGACAACATTTGCTGCACATGCAGAAAAGAAGGAATATTCCTGTTGACATTCAGCCTAACTCTTTAAAATCCTGTTAGCATATTATCTTTCATGCTTATGTTGGCTCTTAATGTGGTGATTTCTGATTTTCTGAAATGAAGTTAGAACTTCTCCAATTGCTATCCTCTCCTCGAGTAGCTCTGCTAAGCACTTGAAAGCTACTTCCATTGTCAATGATGTGCACTGAACTGATAGGGCGATAATTGAGCGTTTATTACGTTGGTATTTGGTCCTAATTTTGGCCAATTGTTGTGCAGAGTAATGGGTTTTTGCTCATATTTGGTAATTGTGTTATTTGTAAGCGACTGATGTCAAAAGTGGCAGAGAGAGGCAATTTTCCAGAAGACTAGTCATTCCAGAACATGCCCACGCTAGAGATCCTAGGGTGACGTCCAAAAGACGAACTGCGGGACTTATCCCTGGGAGCTTGCCGCTATTCTTGGAAGGTGTATTTTGAAGTCACGTGGGATTAGGAGACATCTTGAGAGACCTTTGGCAACAAAGCAAGGAGAAAAAAAATAAGGAAAGAGATTCCTTATAGAAACAAGCACTTTGTTAGCTAAAGAGACGGCGGTGGCAAAACTTTAAATAAGGCAGCAATAGACTAGGAGTTGGTATCTTTGACCTTGGATCTTTAGTTTTTCTCTTCTTCTTCTTAACGTGACTTAGAGATTCGTGGTTTTTACTTTATCAACTAAATTCTATAAAACGCTTTCAATTGCATCAACGTTATGCGACAAGGCTAGATCCTTTGTCTAGTTGAGGAATAATCAAGGCCCAGTGCACGGAAAATTGTGAGATCTTTTTAATTGTTCTGCGCTAATTCAAATTTTGCGTTAGTGGGTATTTAATTATTCTTTGTTTTAATAGCCTATTCTTGTTTGGATCAATGTGGCCAGTTATTCAATTGTTTGAATAATATACTGCCAATTAGGACGAGGGTGCGTATCACTTGATTGTCTTAAAATTAGTGGCAAACGGCACAATTTCATTGCCTTGCAAGCAGTCTAATCTGTGTCGTAGGAATAGTGAATCTAGTTTAAATGAACCTGCATGTGTGTTTGTTAACTAGAATTTGATCTCTCTAATTCCTAAACTGGGAATAAATTAAATCTTTCGAGCGTCTCTGGGGTTATCTATTTTACAAGAGGGTGGTTTAAGAGCATCTCTAGATCACCATATAATTAAGAAGAAATTGGTAGTTTGGCGAGATTATTTTCTTGATTAGGTTGTGTCAATTAATTAATTATTATATTCTTTAACTACTGCACTTTCTTGCGAGTAGAAATTCAGTACTCTTACCTCTTTAAGTTTTTCTTTTTGTCTTCCTTTCTAAACCCCTCCACATTCTCTGTGTGTGATAAATCTACCAGCTCCCTGAGGAGACGACCCTACTCATCACTATATTCGTTTAGTTTTGAGAGTAGGTCTTGATATAAATTTTATTTTTGGTAGTTTGACAGTCACTAAATTTTGGTGCCGTTGCTGCGGACCTGGTGTTTGAAGTGATTTATTACACAGGTTGTGTTTAGCCTTTGTTTTAAGCCTCGATCTTCCCGTACAGGAAGACTCGAATTTGACCCAGAGATCAAGAAAATAGCAAGGAGGTTGACGAAGGAGACTAAGTTGCAAAAACAACAAGTTTCAACGGCAATACTCCCTGAACTTGAACAAAATTCAAATTTAAGTGATTCATCAGTTGAATTGGAAACAGACTTGACTGGACCAAACGAAAAAATGGCTGGCCAAAGGACTTTGGGGGAGTTTGCAACCCCGAATGTTAACCAACAGCCTCTGTGCATTACGTATCCCGACATTGAGGAGGCTTTTGAATAAAAATCTAGTTTGATTCATCTATTGCTTACTTTTCGTGGTATTGCAGGTAAGGACCCATACAAGCACTTAAAGAAATTTCATGTAGTATGTTCAACCATGAGACCTCAAGATGTTACGGAAGAATAAATCAAGTTGCGCACTTTTCCTTTCTCCTTAGCAAACAAGGCTAAGCACTGGTTATTTTATTTGCCATCGGGGTCTATCACTACGTGGGAAGGATTGAAACGACAGTTCCTTGAGAAATTCATTCCAGCCTTTAGGGCCGCCAACATCAGAAAGGAGATATGTGGAGTTAGGCAAACTAATGGAGAAATTCTCTACAAATATTGGGAGCGATTCAAACAGCTGTGTGCTAGTTGCCCGCACCATCAGATCCCAGACCAGTTGTTGATCCAATATTTTTACGAGGGACTGTTACCCATGGATAGAAATATGGTAGATGCAGCGAGTGGCGGTGCTTTAGTAAATAGGACAACAGATGAAGCCAAACGGCTTATCTCAAGCATGGTTGAGAACTCTCAATAGTTTGGAGTCGGATCTGAGGGAGTGACTAGAAGGATCAATGAGGTAAATCATTCTGATCTCGCAAATAGATTAACGGAACTTACCACCTTGGTTGGTCAAATGACTATAGGGCAAGTACAGACAATTAAAGCATGTGGGATATGTGCTGCTCCCGAACATGCGACCGATATGTGCCTAAGCCTTCAAGATGACCTATACGAGCAAGCCAACGCCATGGGAGATGTGCATGGACCACCATAAGGGAGAAATAACCCATATGCGCCCACATACAATCCAGGGTAGCTGGACCACCCCAATTTCAGCTATGCTCTGAAACTCTCAGATTTTCAACAATCGTTCTAGCAGAGACCACCAGTACAACAACCATTCACGTCCAATTCCGATATGTCCCTTGAAGACATGGTTAAATCACTAGCTGATAGCACTTGTCAAATGCGGCAGGACTTGCAGAGATTTCAACAAAAGACTCGCACCAGCATTAGGAATTTGGAGGCGCAAATGTCACAACTGGCGTCTTCAATGAGCAACCTTGAGAGTGGTAAAAAGAAGCTATCATCTCAGGTAATTCCCAATCCAAAAGAGAATGCAAATGCAATGATTCTACGAAATGGCAAGGAGGTACAGTCCTCAAAATCGGAAGCAGCAGGAGAGGAAGACGAACGAGTGTATGGGGAGTTTGAGAAGGAAAAAATAAGCACCCCGCCAAATTTTCTAAGAACTTTGATATTAACCCGTCTTTTCCTGGCAAGTTGGCTAAAGCCAAGAAAGAGGAGTCAGAGAAGAAAATTTTGGACACCTTTCGGAGAATGGAAATCAACATCCCTTTGCTTGATGCGATTTGACATTTATCAAAATATGCAAAGTTTTTGAAGGGGCTGTGCACTAACCGAAGCAAGTTGAATGTTCAAGACAAAATAAAGATCGGTGAGAATGTGCCCACGGCCCTTCAAAGGAAGTTACCGCAAAAATACAAGGATCCAAGTATGTTCACGATACCATGCATCATAGGACAAAAGAGAATACAAAGAGGTATGCTTAATCTAGGGGCATCTATTAATATTATGCCTTTGTCAATATTTAGGGCCTTAAACCTAGGCCTTCTAAAAGATACAAGGGTAGTAATTCAACTAGCCGATAAGTCAAATGTTTACCCTGAGCGTGTAGTTGAAGACGTCCTAGTGAAAGTTAATGAGTTTATCTTTCCTGCTGATTTCTATATTGTTGACATGAACGACGATAACTCAGTTAACTCAGCTGTACTCCTTCTGGGTAGGCCATTCATGAGTACAGCTAGAACCAAGATAGATGTACATGAAGGTACCCTGTCTGTAAAGTTTTACGAGCAGACAATTACTTTTAACATTTTTTATGCGATGAAATATCTGGATGATACTGAGTCTATTAATTATGTTGGTGTCACTAATTCCATTATGCAAGATCACCTTGAGCAGAATCTTATGGAGGACAAGCTGGAATTCGTATTACAATAGAGCAAGATGAATGCAGACGTGGAAAGTGAGGATGAAGAGGATACTATAGAAGCAATTATGTCGCTACATTCACTCCCGAAATTACTTGACAAGTCAGTCAACTCATTTTTACCATTGCCTACTTCTAAAGAGAGAATTTTGCCCTCTGTCGAACAGGCACCGGAGTTGGAATTGAAAGAATTGCCAAGGCATTTGAAATATGCTTACCTGGGAAACAATAGCACTCTGCCGGTTATCATCGCAAGTGATCTGACAATAGAACAAGAAGAAAGACTTTTACGAGTCTTGCGGGAGTTTAAACCTGCAATTGGATGGACGTTGGCAGATATCAAAGATATAAATCCATCCATTTGCATGCACCACATTTTACTTGAACCAGATGCGAAACCGGTAAGGGAACGTTCGAGGAAGCTTAACCCACCAATGAAAGAGATAGTCATGAAGAAGATTCTCATGTAATTGGAATTAGGAATTATTTTTCCTATCTCCAATAGTGAGTGGGTAAGTCCAGTACATGTTATCCCTAAAAAGACCGGCATTACACTTGTGTGGAATGAGAGGAATGAGTTGGTGCCAGTGAGACTCTAAAATAGGCGGAGAATGTGTATAGACTTCAGGAAGTTGAACGCGACCACAAGGAAGGATCATTTCTCAGTACCATTCATCGATGAGATGCTTGATCGATTGGCAGGTAAGTGTTTCTTTTGCTTGATGGCTACTCTGGGTATTATCAAATTACTGTTGCCCAAGAGGACCAGCACAAAACCACTTTCACTTGCCCATTTGGAACTTTTGCTTATCGCCGTATGTCTTTTAGGTTGTGTAATGCTCCAAGGACGTTTCAAAGATGCATGATGAATATATTTTTCTGACATGATTGAAAACTGCATTGAAATATTCATGGATAATTTCACAGTACAGTGATTTGTTTGATCAATACTTGCATCATTTAACAAAATTTTTACAGCGGTGCATTGAAACAAATTTGGTCCTTAATTATGAAAAATGTCATTTTATGGTTAAGGAAAGTATAGTTTTGGGCCATGTTGTTTCGTCTAAGGGTATCGATGTTGATAAAACAAAGGTTGATTTGATTACTAGTTTACCTTACCCCACTAATGTCAAGGAGATTTGTAGTTTTCTTGGGCATGCAGGTTTCTACAGACGATTCATCAAACATTTCTCATGAATTGCACAGCCATTGTCTCGACTACTTCAAAAGGAGGCGCCATTTGATTTTGGAGATGCTTACAAAGTGTCCTTTGACACACTAAAAAGCATGTTGACCACGACACCAATCATTCAACCTTTGGATTAGAGCCTGCCATTTGAGCTTATGTGTGACACCAGTTAGTATGCAGTGGGAGCTGTACTTGGTCAGAGAAGTGGGAAGTGTAGCCATGTCATTTACTATACGTCAAAAATGTTGTCGCCGCCTCAATACAACTAAACCACCACCGAGAAGGAGCTTTTAGCAATTATTTTTGCTTTTGAGAAATTTCGATCATATTTATTAGGATCGAAAGTAACAGTTTTCTCTGATCATGCGGCCTTGAAATACCTATTGGCAAAGAAACAGTCTAAGCCAAGATTTATTCGTTGGATACTCTTGTTGCAAGAGTATGACTGGGAGATCAAAGATCGAAAAGGGGTAGACAATTCAGTGGTAAATCATTTGAGCCGATTGGTTCGAAAAGAAGAGAGAGTGCCCATGTCTGAGATATTTCCAAACGAACACTTATTTCAGCTTAGAGGTGAGGAACCCTGGTATGCTGATATTGTTAATTTTCTGGTCAGTCACAAATTTTCAAGTGGTATGGGTAAGAATAAACAGGATAAAATAATATAGGACTATCGATATTACATTTGGAATGAGCCCTACTTGTGGAAAGTAAGTTCTGACCAGATCATTCGTCGATGTGTTTCAAATGAAAATATTTCCTCTATACTTATTCATTGTCATAGTTATGCTTGTGGCAGTCACTTTGATCCTAAGAGAATTGCTCGAAAAATACTTGATTGTAGCTTTATTAGCAAACCCTGTTTCGTGATGCTTATTTGTTCTGTAAGAGATGTGAAAAATGTCAAAAGTTTGGGAATTTATATCACCGGGATGAAATGCCTCAAGTTCCTATATTATTTTATGAAATCTTTGATGTCTGGGGTACGGATTTTATGGGACCGTTTTTTAGTTCTTTTGGTTGTCTTTATATTCTTTTGGCCATAAATTATGTGTCGAAATAGGTAGAAACAAAGGCTACCCAAACTAATGATTCACGAGTTGTTCAAACTAATGATTCACGAGTTGTTGCAGGATTTCTTAAGTCCAACATTTTTAGTAGGTTTGGTGCGCCAAGAGTAATCATCAGTGACCAAGGTACTCATTTCTGCAATCACACCATTGAGGCACTGATGCGTAAGTATGGAGTTCACCATCAAGTTGGTACTACTTACCACCCACAGACCAACGGGCAAGCTGAGGTCTCTAATCGCGAGATTAAAAGTATTTTGGAGAAAATGATCAACCCAAATCGCAAGGATTGGAGTACCCGATTGGATGATACATTGTGGACATATCGCACGGCGTATAAAACACCAATTGGAATGTCACCTTACAGGTTGGTTTATGGTAAGATGTGTAATTTACCTGTTGCAATTGAATATCGTGCGTTTTGGGTAGTTAAGCAGTGCAATTTGAACGCGGATAGAGACGGGAAGAAATGGAAACTCTAGCTTCAAGAGTTGGAAGAAATCTGCTTGGAGGCTTACGACAATGCACGACTTTACAAAGAGCGCACAAAGTCCATCCATGACAGACTCTTGCGTAATAAGCAATTTTCTATAGGTCAAAAGGTACTTCTGGTCAACTCACGGTTGAAGTTCATGCCAGGTAAGTTGCGGTCCCGATAGATTTGACCATACATTGTTGTTAACGTTTTTTCCAATGGTGCATTTGAAATTAGAAGTTTTGAGACTAACAAAAGTTTTAAGATCAATGGTCATCGTCTCAAACCGTTTATAAATGTTTTAGAACTTGGCACTATGGAGGAGGTCCACTTGCTCGACCCCGGTTCCACTTAAGATGTTAAATTACCTTTGGTCTGGTCACAAACGTTAAATAGAGGTGCTGCTTGGAAGGCAATCCAAGATTTCAATTTTTAGTAATTTTTATGTTTTTATTTCATAATTGCGTATTTAAGATCAAGGTGTTTGGATTCCGATTGATAGAATTCTTTATTGCAGGTCATGGATGTGTTTTGTGCAATTTTATTTTGGGATTCGAGACATAATTCTTGGGCAGAAGATTTTCCCTTCTAAGGCATGCCCACGCCTTGTGTTAGATGCAAAGGGGCGTTTTTAAAGATTGATAAACAGAAGACTTACGCTTCCAAGGCGTGCCCGCGCTCTACAGGGATGCGCCAGATGAACTGTTCTAAGAAATTGGTGATCGGCGGGCTTTCGGTTCCACGGCGTGCCCACGCCGCACAACAAATTGCATCGATGCTGTTATAACGAGGGAGGCATACGATTTCCATTTCCAAGGCGTGCCCGCACTTTCCAGAACATCTCGCGCACGCTGTTACGAAGGGCTGGGCAAACGACTCCGGCCTCCAAGACGTGCCCGTGCCTTCCAACCATCACGACATATAAAAACAAAAAGTCAACAATGATTAGACCCACTCTAAACCCTACCTTTATTTATTTATTTTTCTTATCTTTTCTTTCCTTTTCTCTTAGCGTCCTCCCCGGTCTTCTCCCTTCGCCGCTGCCATCTCTGACGGCGTTGCAGCGGCACACTTCCCTCCTCGATACCAACGCCGCACGCCATCGTTCCTTTCCCCTTTTCGTCCTCGTCTCTCTCCTCGATACACGCCGCCATTTCGGTCACCATCACCGTGACCCCAATCGCGGCCCTGGTCACACTGCCGCACCACCGCCGTCATCTCCACCCACAACACCCGCGATGCTCACCCACGGACACCGCGCACCGCAGCCACTGTCCTTCGTCCCCGTGCATCTCTCTCTCACGCGTGACCCACGGCCACCCGCCATTAACCGCCATCATGATTTCTGCTCCATGGCCACTTATCTCCTGCCAAGTTGCCCGGTGGTACCTCTCATTTCTATCTTTTTGCCATTCGTGACTCGAATTTGGAGTTTTGTTGATATATTTGACTCCAATTTGGGCGTAAAATATTTGTGATTTTTTTGGTTGGGTACTTCGGTTATGGTGGGTCTGTGATTTGATACACATGGCTTGGTGATTCATTAGTTTGTTGGGTATAGTTGACAGTTGATTACATTTTCTGCACCGTCAATTGGTTGTTGACTGTTGACTGTGGGTAGTGTTATTTGTGGTCCCTTGTCTCCATTTTGAGTTTTCTTGTCGACCCCGTGCCTTTGGAATTGACATATTTGCCCCTTTATAGCTTTGAAAAAGGCCACTCCGTCTGAGGCATCGGGTTCCAACTCTCATAAGGGGAGGGCCCCGATTCAACCGCCCACTAGGTCCCGGTTGGGGTTTTCTAGGAGCACTCTGTCTCCTGGGGTGTGGGGGGAACCTTTGAAGGATCTCACGCCTAAGCAGAAGGAGCGGTTGAGCTCCTTGGTGGTGCGTCCGTTCGCCCCATGCAAGTGTTTCCACTCTTCCACTCTCGACCAGTTGAACATTGCTAGGGAAGTGGAGCAGTTGTTTTCTGCCATTGGGTGGGGTCGATATCTAGTTATTGACTATTTTTCGCACGAGGAGTTCTGCTATGAATTCTACGCTACCTTCCAATTGGAGAAATTTGATTCTCTAGCCTTAGACTCATCGGGGGTGATCCAATATAGGTTGCGAGGTACCCCACAGGCACATTCTATTAATGAGTTCAACTTGATCTTGGGGTTTATGAGTGAGGACACCCTCACCTCCGGCACTTATATCAATAGTGCTTGCGACTTCACCCAATCCTTTGCAAGCAATTATATCGAGATCTAGAGGGAGTGGTGCACGGACACTCAACTTTACGACCCGAGTCAGTCTAGGGCCTCGTTTCTTAAGGATCCAGTGCTGAAAGTTATTCACTGATTTCTGGCGTATAATTTCTCAGGTCGGAAGGATTCCTCCGGCACCCTCACCAAGGCTGAATTCTATTTCCTCTGGTGTATGAGTAATAAGGTGCAGGTCAATTTTGGTTATTGGGTAGCTCACTCATCACACGCTTGGCTATCCGCTTGGGAGTGCTTGATCTTAATAAGGAGCATAAGCTCACCATGGCTCGCGAGCTTGAGCCTTTGGATCTGCGCAGTCTAGAACGGATAGGTGTCATTCACAAGATGGGGGATGCCTATCAGTTTACACCTCCTGGAGAGGGTGTGCCCGAATCCCGGGTCCCCCCTACTGCAGCTACCTCGACGGCTGGTCAGGCAGGACCCTCCTTCTCCGCTGCTCCATCCTCTTGGGACACTCAGTTCCACACTCCGCAGGACTCGATTCTTGACTTGGGCGGCTGGGTTGAGTGCCTGGATGACCGCCTCACAGTCTTGCAGGTCCATGCTACCATTCAGACCGAAAATCTGGCAGCCTTCTTTGCTCACGTTGGCTTTCAACCACCTCATCCTCCTCCTCCATAGTGCTCCCATTGGCCTTCAGTGAAGCTTCTATTCCTTTCTTTTCACTTACTATTTTTCTTTGCTCCATTAAGAACAATGTAGATTTATGGTGTGGGGGGAGTAGTTTAGCTCTTTAGGTCTACCAATAAAAAAAAAAGAAAACAACAAAAAAGAAAAAAAATCAAAATAATTAGAAAAGGGAACAAAAAAATATATGTGATGAGTTCATTTGGCGTCAGTTGAAAATGTCTAAAACTTGATACTATGATGATGATTGCAATTACTCTACAAGCATGAGCAGTGATATTATGTGGTTGAATGTTTTATCTTCTTAATAATGGAATTGAATGATGAAGTTTGCAAGACTTGGTTATTAATATCCCGTTGTGAGCTGTCGAGCCAATAAGCATTGCATTGATAACTGCTCTATTTTCTTTCATTGAGTGATTTCACACATGATTTGATTGTTCTTGAATTTGCTTTGTTGTAAATGTCAAGACCACATTCATGAGTTTGATGCATTAAAATGACAAGGGCACTTAGGTTAACCATTTTAACTTTCTAAAGACCAACCTTAATCAGACCTCCCCTAGTTGACCAAGGTTGAGCGAAAACCTTTTCTTTGTTTAATAACTCATTTTGTCACCTCTAAACCCCTTGTGTTTGAACCCTCTTTGTTTCCATTCGGTGTTAAAGGAATGCCTTGATTTCAATGCATGATGATTTTGAATTGGGTTGAGAGGGGATGATTGAAGTTAGCGAGTGTGTTTATATTCCTATGTAGTTGTGCGTATTTTGAAAAGAAAAGAAAAAAGAGAAACAAAAAAAGGGAAAAAGAGAAGAAAAGGAGCACACCAAGAAAGAAAAAAATAAAAAGAAAAAAAAAGAAAAGAAGAATTACAAAGTGCTGTTATCAATATGTGCGATGTTGAGATAGTGGGGTGAAACCCTTGGTTGTGCTGGCACTTGTTAATTCTTTCTGGAAAATTTTTGGGTATGCTTTGGAAAGATCATTTGAATGAAGGAGGAAGTTGGAAGTTATGCAGTGAGTCAGTGGTATTTCCTTTGACATAATGAGCCTAAATTATCTGTTTGATCCAACCCGTGTCTGAATCCCATTACAACCCGCATCAAGACCCTTTGATTTTTGCATTAAATTTGGTCTTAGTGGTGCCGATGTGATTTATTAGCAAGCATATAATAATATTATTTTATCGTGTGGTGGGAGTGACCCTTTTTTACCCCATATCGAGTGGTAAGTAATCATATTTCATTCTATAAGAGAGGGTTAAGTCTTAAAATTTCTAAATTTAATAACATTGTTAGAAGGATGGGACACTTGAGCTCGCATGATTGAACTACTGTGTGTGTGTACCTGTAATTGTATCTCTGAACTTTAAAATGCTTGAGGGCAAGCATTGTCTTGGTGTGGGGGGATTTGATAGGGCGATAATTGAGCGTTTATTACGTTAGTGTTTGGTCCTAATTTTGGCCAATTGTTGTGCAGAATAATGGGTTTCTGCTCATAGTTGGTAATTGTGTTATTTGCAGACGACTGATGTCAAAACTGGTAGAGGGAGGCAAATTTCCAGAAAACTAGTCATTCCAGAACGTGCCAACACCAGAGATCGCAGGGTGACGTCCAAAAGACGGACTACGGGACTTATCCTTGGGAGCTTGCCGCTATTCTTGGAAGGTGTATTTTGAAGTCACGTGGGATAAGGAGACATCTTGAGAGACCCTTTTGGCAACAAAGCAATGAGAAAAAAAAATAAGAAAAGGGATTCCTTATAGAAACAGCACTTTGTTAGCCAAAGAGACGGTGATGGCAAAGCTTTAAATAGGACAGCAATAGACTAGGAGTTGATATCTTTGACCTTGGATGTTTAGTCTTTCTCTTCTTCTTCTTAACGTGAGTTAGAGATTCGTGGTTTTTACTTTATCAACTAAATTCCATAAAATGCTTTCAATTGCATCAACATTATGTGGCAAGGCTAGATCCTTTGTCTAGTTGAGGAATAATCAAGACTCGGTGCACGGACAATTGTGAGATTTTTTTAATTGTTCTGCACTAATTCAAATTCTGTGTTAGTGGGTATTTAATTATTCTTTGTTTTAATAGCCTATTCTTGTTTGGATTTATTGGATCAATGTGATCAATTGTTCAATTGTCTGAATAATAAACTGCCAATTAGGACGAGGGTGCGTATCACTTGATTGTCTTAAAATTAGTGGCAAACGGCATAATTTCATTGCCTCGCAAGCAATCTAATCTGTGACGTAGGAATATTTAATCTAGTTTAAATGAATCCGTATGTGTGTTTGTTAAGTAGAATTGGGTCTCTCTAATTCCTAAACTGTGAATAGATTAAATCCTTCGAGCGTCTTTGGGGTTATCTATTTTACAAGGGGGTGGTTTAAGAGTGTCTCTGGACCACCATATAATTAAGGAGAGATTGATAGTTTGGCGGTTGTTGAATTGCTAGAACCAAGTTACTTACGAACGTGTGAATTAATTCAGGTATCTATAATCAATTACATGGACCAGTGCCGAAATTATTTCCTTGACTAGGTTGTGTCAATTAATTGTTTATTATATTCTTTAGATACTGCACTTTCTTGCGATTGGAAATTCAGTACTCTTACCTCTTTAATTTATTCTTTTTGTCCTCCTTTCTAAACCCCTCCCACATTCTCTGTGTGATAAATCTGCCAGTTCTCTGAGGAGACGACCCTACTCACCACTATACTCGTTTAGTTTTGGGAGTAGGTTTTGATATAAATTTTATTTTTGGTAGTTTGACAGCCACCATGAACCATCCCTGTTAGATCCTCTTCCAGCCTCATCAAATTAGCATGTATAACCTCAGACACAGCATCTGGCCATGATGCGTTTATCCAGTCCTTCAAGGTCATATCTCCTGATAACATTTCATTAGTTGGCTTCCTTCTTGTGAAAGTTTCCATCAACATGATTCCAAAACTGTAGATATGACACTTCTTGGATATCAAACCTTCTGATCCATACTCTGCACCAAGTGAAACAGCTTATCAGAAAGATTACAATTATGTTGAGGGATATGAAACAAAATTAGAAGCAACTATCATCACTTGGTGCCATGTATCCCAGTGTTGCTAGTGTCTGAGTTTGGGCCATGCTCTCTCCCATCCCTAATAATTTTGCAGTGCCAAAATCACCCACATGTGCTACGATATTTTCGTCAAGTAAAACATTGTTTGGTTTCAGATCACAGTGAAGCACAGGGATTGAATAACCATCGTGCAGATAGTCTAATACTGATGCCACATCAATCATTATGTCTAGTCTTTGCAAAAAATCCATGTACAGATCCTGATAGTACAACCACTTTTCAAGACTTCCATTAGACATATATTCAAAAATTAAAGCTTTGAAGTCAAGGCTGGAACAGCTGCTGATGACTTTGGTTAGATTTCTGTGACCAAGGTTACGTAGTACTTCACATTCTATGTCAAAACTTCTAAATGCACCTTTTATTTGTAAGTTGAACACCTTCACAGCTACATTTGATCCATTGATTAATGCCTTGTAAACAGAACCATAGGCTCCCATGCCAATCAAATTTCTCTCACTAAATCCTTTAGTAGCTTGTTCAATTTCATGATATGATATTCTGCCATGTGCTATAGCATCTAAGGAATCTCCTCCAGTTATTGTGCTGCTTGTTTTTCTAGATCGCATTAAGGCAACAGGGATGATGATGGCCACAACTATGAGAGAAACTGCTAGTGTAATTAACACAATTAGTAGCACTCTTTTTGTCCTTCGCTTTCCAGATAAGCTAGCTCTGCATGCTGGGACTTGAAGCTGAGGAGTGCCACAAAGTCTTTCATTTGACATAAAGGATTTAGATGTGAAGTTTGCAAAAGGACCTCCAGAAGGAATTTCACCACTTAATCTATTGAAGGACACGTTAAATAATGAAAGATGTGAAAGTGCTTCCAATGAATTGGGGATGGAACCAGATAGGTTATTACTTGATAAGTCCAGAGATTCCAAGGCTAACATGTTGCCAATTGATCTAGGAATAGGTCCTTCAAATCTATTAAATGCAAGGGAAAGATCAATCACATCTTGCATACCTCCAATTGCACTAGGGATGACACCTAAAATTTGATTCATAGAAACATTTAACAGTGTCGCAGCCTTTAAACTTCCAATTTCTGAGGGAAGAGAGCCACTCAAATAGTTTGAAGACAAATCAAGATGCAAGAGATCACCGAGGCTCCCGAAGCTTGAAGGTATAGCAGAGTTAAATTTGTTGGAACTTAGATAAATGTATCTTAGAGATGTAATGTTCCCTAAGCATGCTGGCACCGTGCGGCAAAACTCGTTATAGCTCAAACTTAGAAATCCCAAGTTGTTCAAGCTGCAGATGCCATTTGGGATAGGTCATTCCATTTTGTTGTCATAAAGATTAAATGCTTGCAGTTTTGATAGTGCTCCAATTGTTGCTGGAATGAATCCAGCCAAGTTGTTGCCTTGCAGAAATAAGAACGCTAAGCTGCTCAAATTAGTGAATTCATTTGGAATGTAGCCTCTTATTCCACAATAAGCTGCATACACATATTCAAGAGAAGTAGAAAGGTTACCAACAGAAGATGGAAGAATTCCATTCAGGGGATTGTAACCTATCCGTAGTCGTCGTAACTGTTGGCAATGTGTTAATGCACTGAAGAAGCTCAATTCTGATGATGAAGATTCTGTCATCAAATTATTTTCAATGACATTTAGATACTGCAAATATCTTAAATCTCCAAAGGAGTGGGGAAATGAACACTACTAGCTTCGCTATTGACGTGAAGGCCATGTCATGTTTCCTTGGAAGTCAGATTTTGGCAACGTTTCCTTTCATATCTTATGCCAATTGCTGCGGGAATTGGCTTATAAACAGAGGCCACGGCAAAGGTTTGGACTGCACTACCACTTCACGTGAAAGCTACCAGACACGGAAAGAATCAATATGGAGCTTTAAGCTGCACTCATGGAAGAGAATTTCTGCCTTTCAATTTAAGCTGCACAAGTTTTACCACATTTTCCAACAGCTTGTGCTCTTGCTAATGGTGCATTACATTGGCTTGTAGAGGAAGATGATGGTTTCAACTTTATCATTGCCTTCGATATTTCCAGTGAAGAATTCGAGAAGTTGCCCCATTAATGGGGAAGGTATTTTTTTCAGCAAAATTGAGCATCTTAAATTGTTGCCTTTCTTTACTCTATTGTTATATTTCAAGTGAAAGATATCGTGTCAATTTATGGATCATTGATGAATTAATATGAAGTGGATAGAACTCGGACTAAGTTAAAATCTCATTTGAAATTCTCGACATTTGGTGTTGAACACCGATCATATATATGCTCAAACCAAAGCAGGCAACTGCTTTTGCAAATTGATGGAGCAGAAAAGCTTGTGCTCTATGATCTTGGAACCAAATACTTGAGAGATGTAGCCACTGCAAATGGAGCAGCTAGTTTCTTTAGAAGCCTTCTTGCATGTCTTCATGTTCCAATTTCCAACTTGTGTAGCACTAGTTTTACCTCTTCTTGTTGCCAATTCTCTGTTCTTAACCAAAAGTTCATTTCTCCAATTTCTTATTCAAACTTAATTTCAATTGAAGATGTTCATTTGTTGTGAGTTCAATCATCCTAATCCAGATCCCTCTATCAGTTAGAAGTTCAAGTTGCAAGCCATTTCACTTTATCCATTTGCCATCTTGCATAGGGATTAAATTCATGCTGAGTAAGTTCATACTTTTTTTATATAGAAAAGATCATTTTATTCAAATAAATCTGCACTAATGGAAAAAAAAACACATCAAACAAACATGACACACATACGTATGGATCTGAAATAAATAGATATAACTGATCTAAAAAAAAATATAAATAAAGATAACATTGATACTCCTATATATCTTCCATTCGGATAAATCACTTTAGCCCAATACATCAGTGCATGTTTGATGATGGAGCACCAAGGACCAATGGAGAGAAAGACCAGGCCATTTGAGTACCAAGTGGTCCGATCACAAGAGCTCGCGCCAAGAAGATGAGCGAGTCACTCCAAGCACTCGTGTGCACCATCCAAGAGAGAATTGGAGATGATTTAAAAATCATTGAAGGCTTGGAGAATGAAGATTCCACATTATACACCTTGCTCCAAGTTGATGAGCCAAGTGAAGACTAGTCTTAGTCAAGGCCGAGAGTTATTTGTCAATCCATAGTCAAGGCCGAGAATTAGTTGTCATTTAATTGCTGTTTAGTTGTTTAATTTTAGTTAATAAATCCAGCCCAAAAACAGTTTTCAAGAGTGGCCGGATATTATATAGCCTTTTTGCCATTTTTCGGCCCAAGAGGCCTTAGCCTAGCCAAGAGCACCTAATCCATTTCACTTTAGGTTTAGTCAAGTGAATCCAAATCACTTTAGGTTATCAATTATATGGCTATATATAGCCAAGGCAAGAGACCTTCACGATCAGTCTTGATATTAATAAAATTGTGAGTTTTCACTTTCCCTTTCCAAGAGAGTCTCTTTGAATATTTGAGAATCTTTCTCAAATTGTTCAATTGAACTTATCAATCAAGTAACTCCTTGGTTGTGGCGTTCATCTACCTTTAATTTGGTTCACTAGTTCGTTAGATAACGGGTTGAGATAGTATCAATAGTGTTCGTTCTAGAGGATTAGATTTGGATCAAATTTTCGCTGCCTAAGCCATTGGTGATTGGTTGTCTAGATCGTGACCAAGTGAGTATCACATCAGTTGGTAATCAGAGCTAGTCGACAACCACCAGGTTATATCCTTCTTTTCTTTTGTGTCGAATCACATACTCTTGTTTCAAATTAGTTCGTGTGTCAATTCAAAAAAAAAATCGTACTGTTCATCGTACTGTTCACCAACACTGTTCATCGTTACTGTTCATACGAATTTTTTTTTTTTGGATACGTCGTCTTGTCTCTTATTGTTGTGTTTCTTGAATCTTGAATTCATCTAAAGTCAGAAAAAAATAAAAAGAGTCGCACCAAGTTTTTCTTGAGTCAAGTTGTTGGAATTTTTTCTCTTGAACTGTCGAACCTATTTCCAACATTAAACCTTAAATATTTACGTTGTTTCTTGCAAATCTTGGATACCAAAACCTGATTTGGGAAGTTCTTGAGTTTCTTGATAAAAAATCTTGAAGTTCTTGGATCAACCAAAACTGTTTTGGGGAATTCTTGATTAAACATCACGGGTTTCTTGAAACTTGGGAAGAAAGTCTTCAACTTTCTCAGCAAACTTGAACCGTTGATCCGAATATAAGTTGTTGGGACAGAAAATCTGAGTTCTTGAAAAACAATTAGAGAGCCGCAAAAGAAAAAAAAAGGGGAGAGAAAGGAAGCATCGGCTCTAGGTTTCCTACTTGAAAAACAAATCCCATTCTTGAAACACTCCTACTCCTAAAGCCTTTGGGATTGAAGTCAGCCAAGAAAACCAAGAAACCAAGTCCAAACCTTCCTAAAACACCCTCACTCTTCCCACATCAGATCCAAACAACTACCACAAACCCGTGTCTTCCCCAAAACAAACCCAACCGCCTCTTAGCACTTGTTCCCCAACCGAATTAAAGTTACCATCAAGGGCTAAAACGATTTGCCTTTTACACATCCCAAACAGCCCAAATACTCCATAAACAACCTGCCCGAGCCCAAGAAGAAAACAACAAGCCAAATTCCAACAATACAAGAGTCCAATAGTCCAATCCACATTCGACTTGATAGAGTCCTTATCAAAGTCAAAATCTCACACACACTTGAGTCACTCATTGCAGACTAAATCAATAAAATTTCAATGTGTTTCTCGTGTCCTTTGCTGTGTTTTTTTTGAGTCATTATTCAGTCTCAACTTTCAACTACTTTTACGCCATTCCTTGGGGAAAGCTTGAATAAAGTTTGATTGAACAACTTGAAGGAAATTTCTGATTTCTTCACGGGGGAAATCAAGGGATTTGAAAATGAGTGGTGAGATCATTAGAGTGTTCTAAACACTTGAATGATACACAAGAGTGAGCGGAACACGTGAGGGAGTGAGTGAGGAATTTTTACCTTAACATTTGTTGAAGTTTTGCAGGATAAACCATGGCCAATGAAAACGACATCACCATAGCACAATTGGCATCAAGAATGGATGCTATGTGGAGAGACATGCAAAGGAAATTTGAGCTCCGCTTTGAGTCCATGCAAGAGCAAATTGAACAATTGGATCCCTCCAGAAACGCACAATTGGATCCTTCCAGGAAGTCTTCTAGGAAAACTAGAGGGAAACTCACCGTGAACGAATTCAATGACTCTAAATTAGAGAGAGAGTTCGAAGATGATGAGCGAAGGCCGCGGAGAATGACACAAAGGGCTGACCATGCCGAGGATCAACTCAAAGGAATAAAATTAAAAATTCCTACCTTCCAAGGTAAATCGGATCCCGAAGCATACTTGGAGTGGGAAAGAAAGATTGAATTGATCTTCGATTGTAACCACTACACGGAGTCTCAAAAGGTAACGTTAGCCGCCATAGAATTCACAGAGTATGTCGCAATTTGGTGGGATCAACTTCGCCTCAAACAACGAAGGAATGAGGAACTGGCCATTCGGACATGGAACGACTCGAAGCGAATCATAAGGAAGCGCTTCATACTCGATCACTACCATAGGGATTTGCATCACAAATTGCAAACCCTCACTCAAGGTAGTATGATGGTTGAATATTACTTCAAAGAAATGGAAATGTCCATGATGCGGGCTGATGTTCGAGAAGATGAGGAGGCCACCATGGCACGATTTTTGGGAGGATTACAGCCTGATATTGCTAACATAGTGGAGCTTCAACACTACCTTGACATAGGGTAACTCTTGGACAAAGCTATCAAGGTAGAACGGACGTTCAAGAGGAGGGGAACGGGTCGTCAAAACTCCAACTTTCAATCTGAAAATTGGAAAAATACGCCCTTAAAGAGGGAGGATCACCCCTCGAGTGCCCTACACCTTGCAAAATCGAATGGAAATTCAAGAGGGACTTTGAGGCCGAATACACTACCTTCCAAACCAACTTCAAAGGAGGGACCCCAACAAGAGGTCTTTAAACTAAGGACCCGTGACACCAAGTGCTTTAAGTGTCAAGGGTTTGGGCACATTGCTTCCCAATGTCCAAACCAACGGACCTTGATCATGTTACCCAATAGAGATATATTGACCGATGAAGAAGAAGAGATACATGAAGGGATGCCTCCATTAGAAAAGAAGGACGAGCTTGAAGAGGTACCAGTCAATGACACGGTTGGATGTCTAGTGGCAAGGCGAGCACTAGCCACTCAAACTAGTCAAGATGAGCTCCAACGAGAAAACATCTTCTACTTCAGATGTCATATACACAACAAGGTTTGTAGCCAAGTCATTGACCCAGGGAGTTGCACTAATGTTGCAAGTGCACTAATAGTGGAGCGACTCAACTTACCTACAACCGACCACCCACGTTCCTACAAGCTCTAATGGCTAAACAATAGTGGCGAGGTACGTATCTCCAAACAAGTCTTAGTTACTTTTCGCATTGGTCGATATGAAGATGATATTGTATGCGATGTAGTGCCTATGCAAGCTGCACACATCCTTTTGGGCCGTCCTTTTCGATTCGATAAGAGAGTTATGTTTGATGATTTTCTAAATAAATACTCCTTTTTGCAT